ATTGTACGGCTAATGCTAGTCGGCCATTTCTGTCGCTGCGGAAAATGCGCATGCGCTTATATTTAGCACAGGTACCTCGACCGGGTCCGCTTGCTCTGTCTATCTTGAAGGCACAAGAAGTCACAACGAATGGCGTGTATCGACTCTCGCATGCTATCTACTACTATAGCTAGCCCCTGTCAGATTCTCTGCGAGCTACTTCGCCGAGGGTTTGCACTTTAGTGCTTTTCATTAGAGCAATGATTTGTCCTCCTGCCAGTGTTCAAAGTTGGTCAAATAGTGCATTTGACAGTGAACAGGTCAAGCCTGCACCATCTGGCTCCACGTTGATGACTTTGACGACACTGTCCTCCACCACTGCAGAGAACCTGCTCCACTAGAGATAACCAACACTTCTCACGTCTTCTAATTATCCACTGACCGTTTGCAGCGTACAGACCCAAGAGCACCTACTGCATCAAACTCCAAGTCAAGTGCCTGCAATAGTCACAACACAATGTCATCGTCAATCCCTACCTTCAAGTCTTCAATAGACCTTTGTGTAGGCTCCGTTGTGATCAGCCAACATCCTGACCTTGCCATCAGCACCACGTGCCTCTCCCCAAGCCGCCATGACAAACACATCATTGACAGACACACAGGCCACTACCTCAACTCCCTTGGCCTTCAGCTTCTCCCAGTCTTGCACATAGCCTGGCAGGTGAGTCTGTAGGAAAGCAACCCGAACTACTGTACTGGACCCAGCACATATCAGTCCCACACCTTCGTGCAGCCAGGGGTGAAGGCTCCAGGCACTCCGAATAGGATGCCCTTCTTGCTAGCGAACAAGTCCTTCACATTCACAGTTGTGGCTGGTGTGCCTTCCTGCACCTCCAGAGATGGCAGCGTGTCTCCAACCTACCAAACATGGACAATGTGCACGTCTCCTACTGCCACAACTACCTGATCACCTTTATAGGCATTCTTAGAGTTGCGGCGACTGATATCCCTCTTCTACTCACGTGTCGGAACATTTGCTGGTGCGCTAACCATGCGCGCATGCGCCAACAACCAGAGTCAGATTCTTAGAAATCAGAATTGGGTCCGGACCGGGACGCCGCACGCGCATGCGCCCACCGGCATGCGCAGTGTTATTTGACATTGTGTGTGGGTGTCATTGTAATTTGATTCTCTCTACATCTTCAGTTCTGAACTCAGTCCTACATTATAGTTGGAGAATTAACGTGCACACCAGTCCATAGACTAACCTGAGATGAAGGACACGACGGACCTCGGTGGGAGTCAGTCTCCACAACATGCTGCCTCCCCAGTAGTCAAACAACTCGTTTACCTTCACACAACAAATACTCGTTACCATGATGGAATTACAGGGCCAGACTCACTGTCTCCAAAGTCAGGAGTGTTGCTATCTGCATGAGACGGGTAAACCTGTCTCTTACAGGCCAGCTGGTGAGGGAGGACAGGTAACTGGTGAATGAGCGCAGATCTTTGTCCAGCTGAACTCCACCCAACTAATGTAAAGTGATGTATATAATGTGAACCAATGCTCCAATGGTCATGTGGTACCTGGTTGAATTGACAGCTCAGTATCTGCTGCTCCAGAAGGACAGCGAGTTCAGTAGTTAACTCAGAGAAGACGTGTTCGAACACAGCTGGAATCAGTTTTACCTGCACCACACACTACCTGCCACACACCCCACTGAAGATCATAGTCTACCTTGATATCTGATAGGGCACTCTCAATCGCTATCAGCAGTTGCTGCACAAATGGATCATTCACTTCATAGTCACTGAAATCTTCCTGCAGATAATAATGCAGTGGTAGTGTGTGAGGGTTGGTCAGCAAAAACCTCTGACAGACTGTGGCTGAAGGAGGAGAAGGCGCTGATGGCTGGCTCCAGAGCAGGCACTAGAACACTCCTCACCACACAGCCAACTCCTGTCTGGTTGGTCAGGCAACAGTACTACAGAAGTCCAAGACATTGTTTTTACCTGTCTTAGTTCCTTGAAACTTGTGGTGACACTGCTGAAGTCTGCCAAGCAGCTCTAAAGACACCAGGGCTCATATCAGCAAAAAACAGAGGAATTCCTACGTCTAATTTTCTCTTGGTCCGATCCGTGGCAGATGCTCCCAGCTTTGCTCCCTCGGCCTGTACCATTTACAATGAACACAACTTTACCTTACAGAAACACTTGCCTATATACCTGAAGCTCGCCAGCCAACTTTTGGATGTTGTTCATGCTGACTTCCACGTCATTCAGAGCCACCTGAAACACACCTCAATACAGTTCACACTCAAAACCATACCCACCATGTAGGAAGCCCCTCCCACTTCATTCTCCCTGCGTTCTGGAGCACGAGATTTCCCCTGCAGCATCCCCGTCAGGTCTAGACTGTGAGTGAGGGGAGATGAGGGAGTGAGGAGGTGAATGAGAGCTAACGTGGTGGATGTGGTGGGCGAAGTCTGAAGTCGGAGCTGTAGCTGGTTCCTGAATTCTGTCAACAGAAGTGAGCTGGAGAAGGGGTGGAAAGATGTAGAGGGAAGGAGCAAAATGAGGAAAGACACTGCTGACCTGGCATTGTTGAGTACGGCACAGGCTCCGTCAACATTGCCACTGGAGAAGGCTCTCCTGCAATAGATCATTAACTCCACCCACTGACAACACCAACTTACAAACCTTGTGCACTTCTGAAGAACAAAGAAAATATCATCAGCCATACTTGATGTGCAGCCATCGGGATTACAGGTGTCCATAGCAACTGCCTGAGAGATACAGAGAGGGAGTGGCAGGTACAGTGACAGTAAGGAGTGGGGCATACACCTTGCAGAGACTCTCCCTCATGAAGTAGTCCTCTATCAGAATGTACTTGCTCATCAGCTCCTGCTCCAGTTGGCTGGTGCGGCAGGTCCGCAGCAACTCCTCAACAGACTCTCCTCTCCCTGAAACACAATGTGCACACCTACAAGTATACACCAACACTTACCTTCACTGCTGTCAGTCCATGAATCCCCAGCCTGCTGATTGAGACTAAGTCACACACTAACACCCTCCTTCTCTCTCTCCTCACCGTGCTGGCTTTGCGCAGTAGAAACCTGAAGTAGAGCTGTGTGCGAGTGCAGCACAGACTGAGTTCAGTTAGAAGAGTGTCCAGCTCTAGGACTGCGGGTCTGAGGAAGCGGGGCCTGGCAAAACCACAAATTAACAAACATAATACCTGATGGCACCAGTGGCAGAGCGAGAGTTGAGAGCAATGGAGACAGTCTGAACCTGCAGACCGGGGCTGGTACAATATCTCGTTCTCTGTCAGCCTTACCTTGTGGTCCAGGAGCCTCTCTGCATGGAGGTGTTCCAGTACCCTGCCACACTGCTCATCGCACTCAGTCTACACTCCAACACACACCATCACTCAACAGTGTATGTGTGCACCTCCAATACCTGGAGTTCTCTGACAAGGAATGGCATCCAGGGTGGTCCTGCGGTAGTGTTCCATTCAGACGATTTCAGCGCACACTCGTACGTAATACAGACCCTACCATAGTATGTCTCCACCAATGGCTGGTTGATCTCCAGGCAGCGAGCAAGAGCCTCGTAGAGAAGAGTAAGGGTGTCGGCATACACCACACCAGCCCTGTCCTCTGTAGGGAGGTCACCACAGCCCATTAGAAAGGGACAGCTGGATATCATCACTGCACCCCTGCCACAGCAGCTTAAACAAACAAGTGGCTGTGCCAGGAGCAGACATGCACAGACAGAGGCTCCAGCAACACCTATGAGCCCAGGCCAACCAGGAAGGGAGAGGCTTCCCTCCCTCCCCTTCTCGGAGGTTGGCAGGAGTCCCTTTGCCACTGGTACACCACATCTCCATGTAGGACCCTCCCTCAGAGGCTACCCACCCATACCTGAGGGTTGGGCAGCCCTCTCCAGACTGGACTCTGCTGTCTCTCTGATCTGTAGAGGAGGAAGAGATGGGTGCTGGTGAGAACCGCCCCCTCATTTTACCTGTCTTCGCAGGTGGGACGAGAACAGGTGCAAGCCTTCTTTGTGTAGGTTGATCAGAGGAAATATCTTGAAGAACCTGAAATTAGAATCTCCACAAGATCATCTGCAGCTGCTTCCAACAGGATCTGACCTTTCAACCTGAGGGTGGTCTGCAGTTGCCATGGCATCAGCCATGCTAGTTCTCACGACCTCCTTGAGTTTTGCCTCAGCCTCTCTCAGGAGGGAGAAAGAGCTGCTCACTGTACCTCCACCTGCATGATGACATGATCAAACACTCCACTACTATAAGGGTGGCAGCTGCAGAACTATGTAGCTTTCTCAGGCAGCTATCAGGGAGGGATGGGGCTTCTGAGGCCACTCAATGCTTGGTCATATGGAAACGGACGACAATGACAAAGATATTTGCAAACATCCTAATTCAGTCCCAGTCGTAATACACTCAGAGTCACCAAAACAGCCAAACTCCCTCCCTCCTTAGACCTGCCTTTTACTGAGTCAGCAGTTGTTTCAAGTAAGATGTTTTCGTCAAGGGCCAAGTAGCGGTGGATATGGGCAGCTGCCTGAAAGTGAGAGTTTATGCACAAACGTGAAAGTTTACAGAACATCGCACGTGTGTGGTCTTGTTATTTCACATGCAAACATGTTTGTTCTGTAGTGTGAAAATTGTTGGAATGCAAAATACAAATTCCATGCCATTAGAAATACCCTCAGTTTGCACATGAGGCATAACCTAAAGCGTCACTGAGCTATTACTGGTTACCTAAAGCTAATTCCCCCGGCGGGCCACACAAACGGAGCAGTTGGACCACAACCACATCTCTCATGGGACTTGTCAGCTAGCTTCAGTATGAGCCAACTCCCCCCTCATTTACAGGCACAGCCATCAACCCCTCAGTAGCAGACACCCTAACCCATGAGAGAGGCAGTAAGCCACACCTCCCTCAGCTCACAAATCTGTGTTCTATATAGTCCACACAACCGGGCCACTCAATGGCAACAGACAGTATTGTGTACAAGGAGAGGCTGACTGTGTTATTGAACACACATCCATACCTTCTCATAATCTCCAGTAGTCATGGCATACTGCACACCGTCCACACAGCTCTGTACACAGAGGACATGGGAGGGTGCACTGATATTGCTTACGTCAGTCAAGAGTAAATAAACATCTTCCAGAGATCAACAATATTCAAAGACAGCGACATAAGCAATATCTGACTGACAATGACGTAACCCCAGACCAGCAGCAGAGAGCGAGGGTACAGAAAGGGACAAACAACCCAAATGTGGGAGTAAGAAAAGTGAAATATGCAAAGAGAGAGAGAGAGAGTAAATGGGTGGAATGGACAACACCTCCACAAGAAGAACAGACAGTATACATACACACACACACAGTTTGCTGTTGACCAGCCACTGGCACCAACCCACCATAGGCAAAGAGAGAGAGAGAGTAAATGGGTGGAATGGACAACACCTCCACAAGAAGAACAGACAGTATACATACACACACACACAGTTTGCTGTTGACCAGCCACTGGCACCAACCCACCATAGGCAAAGAGAGAGAGAGAGTAAATGGGTGGAATGGACAATACCTCCACAAGAAGAACAGACAGTATACATACACACACAGTTTGCTGTTGACCAGCCACTGGCACCAACCAACCATAGGCAAAGAGAGAGAGAGAGTAAATGGGTGGAATGGACAACACCTCCACAAGAAGAACAGACAGTATACATACACACACAGTTTGCTGTTGACCAGCCACTGGCACCAACCAACCATAGGCATAAGGGGAATTGCTAGAGACGGAAAACTGTTAGTTAGCCAAAACGACACATACCATGAATGTATAGAATATCTCAACTGCATGCTATGAGCGTGAATACCTTTAGGTCAATAACATCATCAACTCTCTTCATGCAGTCATACACTCGACTCTGTGAACAATACATGACATCATCAATTCCTGAGGTGCATAAGGTTAGCCACCAAACCTTGGCCTGGTCCAAAACACGGACTTTACAGCTGACAGAATCTGCTAGCTGACTAGCACGACCAATGACCCCTTGCAGGACACCAGCTTCCATATCCAGTGTCTTCAGTGTGGGTCTGAGAAGAGCAGAGAGAGAAGGGGGGACTGTAGCGAGAGAACCAGATACTTCAGCCTCACAGCATATGCTGGAATAGCGCCATCCTCAAGTCTAACTGGGACTGCTCTTCTAGCAGCTGCTCTAGCTCCTTACTCACTTTCTCCTGCAGTACTCAATATTCCATATAACGCACACCACTGTTTCTTCGGTCACCTCCTCAGCCGTAAGATGTTCCAGCAGCTTCGAGGCTTGCTCAACGTCCCTAACAGAAGACACGGATTCCGTCGTCGTCCTCTCCATTGTATCGGTCCGTCTATGGCTAGGCTACGTGCATAAGATCAGCCATGGGTCGTTCCCAGCGGCCTCCTCTATGAGCTCTGAGCATGCGCGCGCATACTGTACGTGTGCGACCGGTTAGATATGCGCCCGGCGCGCGTGTATAAAAGGCAACAAAACTCAACTCGGCGGCACTTTCCTCCTCCGAGCGAAAAGAAGGCAATGACCGGTGCAGTTTTGTTCTTCGCGGTGGCTGTGGCGGCGATCTTCGCTAGCCCTGTACCGCTGCGGAACGCACGCCAAGCGGAGCTCTCCGTTTCAGCTTCGGATTTGGGCTGTACAGAGAACGAGAATAAACTAGGGGTCCACACCAGCCAACTCGAGGAAGTCTGTGACTCCTATCTATTAGGTAAGGTTACAACATCATGTAGTATAATATGCATTTTCATTCGTTCCTGTTGCAGCAAACCTGCGCCGAAATTGCAGTGCCTACGCGGCGGACTTCGGTCACAGCGGTGTGTACCGCATAAGGCCTGGGGGAGTCAACGAGTTAACGGTATTCTGCGACATGTGTATGCGGGAGACGGGCGAAGGTTGGATAGTGATTCAACGACGTGTCGACGACAGTGTCGCATTCGAGGACAAGAGCTGGCAGGACTATAAGGATGGATTCGGGGATTACTTCGGAAACTACTGGATGGGATTGGATAAAATTCATGAAATAACACAATCTGGCACTTATGATCTTTATATCTCCTTCAGAAACAAACCACATGTAAATATCTCTCTCACCTATATTGAGTATGCGGTGTACACCAACTTCAATGTGGACAGCGAAGATGAAGATTACAAGATGACATTTTATGAACTTGATAATGACCGATCAAGCAGCAGGATTAAAACCAATGCTTACTCTTTTAGTAATACTGCTGGAGCCGGGCTAGGCAGACACAAAAATTTGAAATTCTCAACATATGATCGGGATAATGATGGTATAAGTACTACGGACTGTGCAGGTGATCCTGGTGGCACTTTGTATGGTGGTTGGTGGTTTGGAGATGATCATGATAGTCCACAATGTTACCATGTCAACCTCAACGGAAAATTCCCTCAGAACATTTATGTATCTGGGGGTAATGACAATGCCATCAAGTGGGAAGGGATTGTGAATGACGACTACTCATTGAATAACACTATTATGGCCATTCGAAGAACCTCCAATTAGTCACAACACAACTTAGCCTCGTACCCAGGCCGTTTGTGGGGGAGGAGAAACGGGTACTAAACACAAATAATTATAGTCCTGTGTGCTTGACATTATTTTTTGAGAGGTTAATAGCGATACGGCACCGCGCGCGCGATCGAGCTCAGCCCCGCCCCTCCTCACTTTGTCGCGCTACGTAGCACAAAATGGCAACCAAGCTGGACTTGGAAGTCAAGCTACCCGGCGGCTTTGATATAAAGTTGAAAGGCCTGAAGCGAGGATCGTGCGTTAAGGGTCTAAAGACTCGCATCGAACAGCAAGCAGGAGTACTACCACACACTTACTACTTCACGTATCTGGACGCGGCTCCCCTGCAGGAAGATAGAACACTGCGCGACCTTGAAATTGTAAGTGGGGCCGTGCTACGAGCCGTCGCGTGGCGGCTGTGGCAAGAGTTGGTTGCATCCACTGTACGAGGAGCCGTGAGGCAGTGCTGTGAAGAACTGCGAGCGATCGGCGACAGAGGAGATGAGCCTTGGCAGAACTACTGTGCCTGGTGCTCAGCGTTCACTGCGGCCCACGGCGGGCACCATGTCCTGCTTGCCGAGTTACTCAAAGGCTGGCCTGCCCTGGCCGTCAACGCGCAGAGCCCCAGTGGCTGGACAGGCTTCACGCAGCGGCGGCCATGGGGCGATGGAACTCTTGCATACTCCTTGACCACGGCGCAGATGTTACTGTAAGAGACAGGTAATAACTAACTATACAACCATAGCTAATCCACAATCCAATCCATTCCAGTCAAGGAACATCAGCAGCAGACTGGCACACCAGCAATGGTCACAAAAAATGTGAGCAGAGCCTTCGTTTCTGTGAGTGGAACATCAAGAAGTACAGAATAGTAAAAGAGAGGAGATGGGACCATGATGCAGCAGAGAGCGAGAAGCAGCCAATAGGAGGGCCCACCAGTTTTACTGACTCAAGGAACAGCACCTGCTGAGGGGACCACGGGGCTCCGAATACCGCCTTCACATTCCCAACCCAGTCTCTGTCAGGGATGTGCACCAGTTCCGAGCCAGTACAACAGGAGAAGACACAGGAGAGCGGCTGAAGCTTCCACCCGTTACAGCCACACCCAGTGTGGAAACATTTGACTACGGCTGGTTTGACAAATTGAGAGCCCAACAACTTGTACCAAACACCACCAGATTTTGACGTACTCTGATCCATCCTCCACTTCATCACCAACTCGCTCCCTGATCTCAATCCCAATGGCTACCTTCTTCCCTCTACACTTCCCCAGAGAAAAACACTTATAGCAGCTTACACACATGCACACACACATGCACACAGCATGTCAGTAGCAGTGAGTATGGTATATATCAGCAGTTTGTCACTGGAGTGGAACAAAGGCGGTTTTGAGCCGCTGGAAACTTGATGTTGTATGCAGCTTCTGGGATATACTGCACCACAATCTGCTTTCCTGCATGCCAGAAACAGGCTGGGGTCAAAACCCAGCAATGATGCATGTACATTGAGCATACAACCTGCCAAGAATCTTCCATTCAAACGGTTGAACGCTGCAGTAGCCACTTGCGCTGAGGAACACTTGACGTACACATTTCCGTGAGACATGGTGGTCCACACATGGATGTGGTACACAGAGCAGCCTGGGAGCATTCCTCATGTAGCACATCATCTCTAATGTCATTCTCGCAGCTGGCTCACTTTCCACTGGACACACACTACACCACACACATTAGCAGTTGTGCTCTGTATATATATATATATATACGGTGGGGTGTGGCTCACTCATGGGGTCGAACATGTTGCTGAGCAGAATGCAAGGAGAGGCAGTAGGAACAGCTTTCACGCAGCTACCGCCCTGCCACATTGTGGAACTGCCAGCCCTGGCATGTGCATCAGATAACTTTGGCCATGACGCTGGGCCCCGGGCAGACAGGGTCATCCCAACTCCAATGTCAGTGTCCTCATCCATCCAGATACTCCTCAAGGCTGTGGCTGTCTCTCCCAGTGACAGTGTCGATCTTGAGTGCGGCAAACTGGGACCAGCCAGCTCCACACCAGTCACATGTTGGAGAAGCCCTCTCTGTCTGCACACTCTGAGTCTGAACTGCAGTAAAACTCCACATGTACACACATACCACCCAGTACTACATTACCGACCATACCTCTCACACAAGCATAGCCCTTAGACACGCCATTCTCATCCCTCATCAACTGAATCTTGTCAACGGCCACCAAATGTGTGACTCAAAGTTATTGTCTTGAGACATGGATTCATTGATGCGGTAGTGCAGTGCTCCGGCAAGAGATTTCCTAGGCCCTTCAGCAGTCCTTATCTTCAGGTGCTCTAGCTGCTGAGCAGCTAGCCTGCACACACACAAGAGGTCAGTGACAATGCAGAGCTCTATGCCAAAGAAAATTCACACTGTTCGTTTCGCCATGGTTGGTTGCACGATGAAGGGGACCACCAACCACTTCTGTCCTGTCAGATTGCGCGAGAGCCTGGAAGAGAGTCCGTCCATACTCTAGTACGTACAGCATACACCACAAGTGACCAGCTACGGCAATTGACACTGTTCGTCGCGTAAAACTCCACATACGCATTTTATGCTCTTTAGAGCGACGGGAGATTTCTGGGTCCGAGATCATCAGCTGACGTCACACACCTATGCCCAACCTTCTGGAAGAAAACAAACTACACTCCTCCATCGGCTCGCTCTATGTTTTGTGAAGACTCCTCCAAGTCATGCGGTGCCACCGTTTTGATGCGTACAGCTGCATAGCACATAATACTGTACAGCGATCGTCTCTCACAGCGACGAGGTCTCAGCATTGGGGATGGCCGCATTGCCGGATGGGCCAGAGTGATTGGTCGCGTGACGAAGGCTCTTCCCTGTGGGGACGGAGACCTCAATCTGTGGTAGCGACTGATGGCTCACCTCGTCCCTTCTCCCTGGACGTGAGCAATCAGCGACTGCCTGCGTCGACTCCTGGACCCTGACGAGATCTACGCAGACACACAGACAGTAATGAGAGATTCCCACTAACCACACCCCCTCCTGTACGCCTCCTGCGACGACTGCCTCTGGAGTGGCGATTGAGCGGTCTTTGCTGCGGCTCTGCAGGAGGTAACAGTTTGAGGCACTGTGGCGACAGCTCATACTATATACCTCTTGTGGGGCTGAAACAGCGACGCCAGAGCGGGACCTCCTGTGACTGTGCCTGTACGATGGTGCACTGAGAAAGTGGGAGTGGTGTAGGGTTTACCCCAGAGGTGCACTTCCAACTTACTTTCTTTTGCCCTCGTCGTCTCTACTGCGAGCTGTCCTTCTCTTCCGTCCTGTTCTCCTGTAACAAGGAGGGCCAGAGCAGTCACACACAACACCGCACAAGAGGGAAGAGAAGAGTGGGTGGAAGAACTCAGGGTGGGAGATGCAGAGGGGGAGAAAGGAGCGAATTACAGCAGACTCGGGTTAGTGGCTGTCCGGTGCAGAGTGTAGTGAGGCCACACTGACTACCCAGGCCTGTACAATGCAAGGAGTCAAACTTCGCAAGTGGGTCTACCTAGAGCAGTGCAGGTGAGAGAGGGGCAGGTGGCTGGCCAGTCTCACACATACACTCTACACGAAATAGGAACAAGTCATCTTATTTCAGCACCGGTACCATCTCTCACAAAACCACAACCATACATTTGTCACGCGGTGAAACGAACTCGCTCACGTTTCATCAACTCACTTCTCGGTCTCTTTTTAAAAGTGCTTCTAGCAGGTCTTCTACGTCTACGTCATACTGTCATTTTACGAGATTTGGTGCGAAAGAAAAGGCTAGCTACGTCTCTCAGACAAAGTCGGCCACGGCGTTTTTGTGTAAATCACGTGAGCATCATGTGCGAATCACGCTGTCGGCTATCACTTTGACGCCAAAGTAGCAAAGTTGGGTATTTGCCTCACGCAGTACGGGAGTGAGTGCGTTTTGCTTTGCATGACACAGCCGAGCAGTGTGAGAGCTCAGTGTATAAACTGTGTGACAATTTCCTGGAAGTGTTGTTATTGGCTCCGAGATTGGCTGGTCATGTTTTAGATGCATGGCCAGTCTGGCCGTACATCTAGCTAACAGTAGAAGTTCTGTGCGGGTATTACGTGGGTATGATAGGCACAGAAACAGAGGAGCAGTCTAAAGACCAGTCTTTGCTAGTAGGTGAAGTCTAGTATGGCGTCCTGCCATGTGGTAAGGGGCACATGTGTGGTGTAATGGTGCA